TGCTAGTCTGCACTCTGGGTGGCACTGAGAGGTGAGATTTTACAGTATGTTAGTGTGCAAAAGGCCACGGCCCCTTCATAGAGCGGCACTTCCTTTGCTTTTAAACCAACAAGCGTTTATTCCGATCAGAAGGCAGTGGGAGGTTGAGAAAATGACTTGCTTTGCAAGAGCTGCAAACAAATGCATGTGAAATTTGTATTTGTTTAAGGTAGACAACAGTGCTGTTGAGTTGTGTTCCAAAGCATGTATTATTTATTATATCAGTGTTGCTGACATCAATAAATCAGGAGGATTTTTTCATTTGTGTGCATGCAGTGTGACAAGAAATATGATGCACATTGTCCTATAATGGCCTACAGAATCAACATTTTTGCCCTTTATGCTATCAATTGACCTCTAAAAGTGTTGAAATGTTTTATAGAATAAACCCATGCACTGAATATGTCAGAAAGTTTCAACGGTGTTAGTGGGTGCAGCGATCGTGAGCGTGGGAAATGAGGGGGCACAGCGAGGGCAGAGGCAGGATGAGCGAGAGAGACTATTAGAGAAGGCGCGTAGGCTGAGAGACGAACATAAACCCTGAGCAAACCAGATTCATTCATGCTGTATTTTGCAAACGATTGCCATCAAGTATATTACCATTGAATGTATTTGTTCCTTGCTTTGTTATGTGGATTAAAATAGATTTGATATGGTATGCATACTAGTATGTGCTTAGATGTAGCTGTGTGGTTCTCTTACACTGCAAACAAATCATTTTCTTCAGTATTTTTTTTTTATATATATTTAACCAGTAGCTAAAATATGTAAATGATTAAGTCTTCTGAGAATATATATAATTTTTTAATTTTTAATAATTCTTTATTATTATTATTATCTTTATTATTATATTATTATTATTTCTCTTATTTTTTTAGGCATGAACCACTTTTTTTTTTAATTATGCTTAAAACAAAAACTTGATGCAAACTGATTAATCTGATGGAATTTTGCCTCTCAGTTTCAAAGAGTTTTATTATTTATATGATTATAAAAAAAAAATTTTGCAGTATGAAGGTTTGATTTGGGCTTGTTATTTTATAATCTTTGGATGTGGGACCTTTATGTGAGGACAAAGACTTATCCAGAGGAATCGATTGACTGTGGTTTCTCATTACATCATCGTTTTTCTCTCCTGCAGGATCAGTTGAGTTTGAAACGCCTTGGAGGACTCAGAAAAAGGAAAGATGACTCTTGCAGGTACGTGTACATCCACCTGCTTGTTCACATGTGAACTTGGGAGTGTTTAATGGAGCTGAAGGAATGATGTGTGAGCACATGGCATCAGTGATGATGTTACCTCAAAATAACTCTCTCTCTTTTGCAGCATACAGAGAGAAGATGAAGGAGCTCCCTCTAGTGTCTCTCTTCTGCTCCTGCATCCTACCAGAGCCTCGGGAAAAGCCCACCAAGAAAACACAAGGTACCTTAAAGGCACCTCAAATCTAAAATCTTGCATACTTTCAGATAGAACTCCCTGTTTTTACATGGTCAAGTGAACCTACAGTAAATGGAACATATTGTAATGACGTCTGTTCTCAATCAATCAATCAGTTGCATGAATAAATATCAATCAAATTAGTCATTGTTGATCTTCTGTTTTAGATGTTGTGGACCTCAACCTTGGCATTATTAAAGACATGGAGGTGATTGAGCTAAACAAGCGGTCATCGGGCCAGGCCTTTGAGGTCATCCTCAGACCTCCATCTTTTGACGGTCAGAGGGAATTCCATCCCACTTTCCCACCTCGCAGTGACCCCTCGCTGGAGGAGATCCAGAAGAAACTGGATGCAGCTGAGGAGAGAAGAAAAGTGAGGAACAGTGATGTTTTTTGTGGAGGATACTCTCAATATCAATTAGTTAGTTGATGTCGGTAATCAGACATGTCTAATTATTATTGCTTTCACTTGCATATCTATTACTGAGATATAGTTTGGCTTGCTAATTTGAACTTAAATAGACGCAAGACAACTTCAGATAGATGTTTAAAAGCTGATATGCTCAGTGTTTTTTATTATAAATTGTAAATATTATATTGTAAATAATATAGTATTATTTATGGTCTTATAATATTTTGCATTAGCTTTATTTTTATAATTGAAGTTTTCATTTGAATTTTATTTTAAATTTGAGTCATTTTTGTACTTATATATATATAAATGTGTGTGTGTGTGTGTGTGTGTGTATATATATTTTTTTTTTCAAATAATAACAATGATGAGGAACAGTGATGTTTTTTGTGGAGGATACTCTCAATATCAATTAGTTAGTTGATGTCGGTAATCAGACATGTCTAATTATTATTGCTTTCACTTGCATATCTATTACTGAGATATAGTTTGGCTTGCTAATTTGAACTTAAATAGACGCAAGACAACTTCAGATAGATGTTTAAAAGCTGATATGCTCAGTGTTTTTTATTATAAATTGTAAATATTATATTGTAAATAATATAGTATTATTTATGGTCTTATAATATTTTGCATTAGCTTTATTTTTATAATTGAAGTTTTCATTTGAATTTTATTTTAAATTTGAGTCATTTTTGTACTTATATATATATGTGTGTGTGTGTGTGTGTGTGTGTGTGTATATATATTTTTTTTTTCAAATAATAACAATGATTTTTTTTATATAGTTTGAGTTTTAGTTAACAATAACAAAAGATAATAAATATGATTCTATCTGAGTCTCATGCTGAGTTACATAGAATCTTATGCATAATCTCCACAGTGTCAGGAAGCTGAACTTCTGAAGCACTTGGCTGAAAAGAGAGAACATGAGCGAGATGTGGCCCAGAAAGCCATAGAGGAACACAACAACTTCATCAAGATGGCCAAAGAAAAGCTGGAGCAAAGAATGGAGATTAACAAAGAGAACAGGGAGGCCCACATCGCTGCCATGCTGGAACGTCTTCAGGAGAAGGTACGGTGCATCTTTACATCCTAACCCAGTTCCATGTTTAAAGCTGCAGTATTACTACTGCACCACTAATGGCACAAAAGGGAATCGCAATCTGCTCAGCTGATGACATGAGTTTAGGGTGAGACCATCTGAATGTTACTTTTTTGGAAATAGGCATCAGTTTTGCAATTCCATTTGGTGCCACTAGGTAGACTTTTTTAAAGGCACTTTAAAGTTGAGATTGAGCTATTATTTAATAGTTCTTCTTTTTGTCTTGTGTTTTTTCCAGGACAAGCATGCTGAGGAGGTGAGGAAAAACAAGGAGCAGGTGGAACTGGATTGCCAGTAGAATGACATGAATCAATAGCATTCTTGTCCAGAATTTTCAAGAAAAAACAACAAAATATGGCCTAGCAGGTCCTATTCATGCTAAGAAAGGCTGTGTTTTGGAATTGGCAAAGATTCAAAGGCCTCACATATGATATTTGCAGCTAAAGAAACAATATTCTTGTGTCTGCTGCCACGCAAAAATGCCGTGTATCATGGATGTGGAATTGGGAATTAATTTGAGATTTGTTTGCCGCCAAACTGTGTCATCATCCATCTCTTTAGTCTTTAGTATATAATAGCTTTGCATGTACTGATGGGATAAAGATAATGAACAACAAGTTCGATGAAAACTACCAAGATGTGAATTTGTGTTGTACTGCTGTGAATTATCTGTTTGTAACATTGTTTGTGCATTCAAAGAGGTGATGTGTACTTATTACTGTAGTCTGGCTTTGTATTATTGTGTCTTAGTGTTGGTTTGTTGTAGTTGAGAAATCATTAGTAGAATATTTGTTAGTTACCTGACAAATAGTGTATTAAATGTGGCCGAAATCAACCATTTTAATGCTTGCATGCCATGATGCACTTGATAAAACTTGTGAAAAGCCATTTGGTGTGTGACCGTGTGGTTTTTGTCCTGTTATTAATTGCTATATCTCTGAACTTTATGTTCCAGGTGCCTTGAGATCTTCTCACAACACATGCTGATCATATGGGAGACCATTGACCAAAGGACTGACTATCACGCTGAGCTTTTTAGCTTGGATCATAAGAGATTATGACTCTGAAACAGATTATGATATCACTATGTCATTGTAAGGTACGATGGCCATGTTGTCAGATGAACGGAAGTGGCTGGCCAGCAAAGATTGTGATGGAATCTTTACTACCTTAATCTGAGAAACGCAGAGTTGTGTTTGTCTCTGCGATGAGCTTGTATGCCAATAGTGCCAAAAATGAGTGAATGTGAGTGATAACTTTTTTTGTGTTTATAAGTATCTGGATGACGTTTGGATGGTTTCATGTACTTTGCCCATGTGGATGCAGTTTGTCCTCTGTCCTGTCTTTAAGGCTCTATTTTTGGTAAACTGCTCAAGCTTTTGCCGCTGTACGTATGTTCACTTGCCTCATGATCAGCTGGTGTCTGATTTGGCTATATTCTGTACAGAAATTGTGATATATTTTAGAAGCAGAGGGAATTAAAGGACTGCTGGTATAGTTTTGTCCTTGTGACTTCCTCATTATGGATTTTGAGTTTTTTGGGGGGGTTTTTTAAAGACCATCAGAACAATATTTGTAATTTTTTTCTCATTTATTGCATCAGTCATATCCTTAAAAACACATTCGGATCAATAAATAAAAAGTTAATACAAAATATTTGAATAAAAATCTTCAAAAAATATATTTTTTAAATCCAGTGAAAATAAACAACATACATCTGAAAGCACATGTATAATGGCATTTATAAATTAGATTATTAGATGGATCAAGTCGAAGGGTTGAACTCATTATACAAATATCAGGCAGCATGATGATGATGGATCCAATATAATTAACAGATATAATATCATGAAAATAAATAAATATCCCACATTTCGCGAACATGTATATGATACCATAAATAAATTATAAAGTCATAAGTCTTAAGCCTTATGTTCTGGATTTGTAATACTGTAACGCTAATGATCAAACATCTGCAGTATTGTAACTCCATCAGCTCCCACATTTTAAAAATGTTGTACATATGGACGAACGCAGGTGCATCCCACTGCGATGGTTTTGTACTCGAGTCTCAAGGAATAGTTGTGCTTATCTCCTCGAATTTTCCTCAAGACCATGATTTGGGTGTAAATAGGTTTGGACTGGTAATCCTGGTCCTCAGTGCCATCTATCAGACATCCAGTCAGTGAACACTTCGCCACTGCGATGTTAGAAGGGTACAGGCTCTCGTCATGCATAAACCTATGAAACAAAATGAATCATGTGAAGTTTTAGGTTTGCGTGTTGCAACAGTCACGTTCTAGTTCTAAAAACAACAAAGAAGCGCATGTGAATGTGGTTCATGATCATAACTCTTACAAATAAAAGTTCCAAACGGGGGTTTCGCAGTGATGCCATAGAAGAACCATTTCAGGTTTAGCAAAGAACCTTTTTAGTGAACAGTTCTTAAAAGAACCATTTTTTCTTAGTGTGAAGAACATTTGAATAATCTAACGAACCAATGGAAAGGTTTCGTAGATGTCAAAGGTTCTTCATGGAACCATAGATGCCAATAAAGAATCTTTATTTTTAAGCGTATATACTAAGGTCTTACGTGTAGGTCCATGGAGAGATGGAGTCGTTGTTTATTGGAAGGTTCGGGTTGGCCGGGGATTTGAACTCAGGATCCAAGATCAACCGGTATGATGATGATGGATCCAATTCTTCTTGCTTTCCTTTCTTCGGAAGATGTTTTGAAGGTGCCCCCTCAGCTCCAAATGATATTAAAACAAGCCCCATCACACAAGCCACCTGTGAAACACAGACACTGTCATTTCAGATTCAATTGTATTAGCATTGCGACTTCGGCAACAAAAATCCTTAGGAGATATTAGCAGGCCGTCTTCGAACATTTCAGCAATACTCACCATGAGGAACTGGATGGTAAGCGCTGATGACATAGTTGCATTCATTTGACCTGTTTTTTTTCTGATGTCTTCTGTCAGTCTTAAGTCTCGCTGCTCTACATTTGCAGTGGCATGTGCAGTTTATATAGAGAGGCCTGTTCGTGCACTTCCTTCCTGTGATGAATTCTCCCCATTGATGGTATTTTATGTTGTCATATTCAATGTGTCAGCAAAATCACTTGAGTGTATTGTGTCACTGCAATCAAATATCACACTCTGTTATTTCCTTTTGACAAATTTGTTTTAAACAATGCATTTAATGATGCACTTATACTTAACATTTTTATCCAAAAATATACAATGTTTACTTTCATTGTATAAGATATAAATGTTTCTTCTGCAGATTTTCAGAAGACTTCACCACCCTATGAAAGCTTGTTTCCACCACGTGATAAAATTATAAAAAAGCTTTTTTTTTAATCCCACAATTCTGACTGTTCTTCTTGCAATTCGGATTTTATTTTTTGTAATTCTGAGAAAAAAAGTCAGAATTGTCAGATGTAAACTTCAAATTCTGATAAAAAGTCAGAATTATGAGATATAAACAGAATTGAGATATAATCTCACAATTCTATGGAAGCTTGTTTCCGCAACGGAATGACAAATAAAAAAAAGTAATTGCAACTTTTTTCTCACAATTTTTAATTTACATCTCACAATTCTCACAACTTTGCTTCTCAGAATTGAGTCTTCTTCAGACTTGTCTTCCCAGAAGAGTTTATATCTCACAGTTCATAACTTTTTATCTCACAATTCAATTCAGTTCTGACAATTACGAGGACAAATGTCTAAATTGTGAGACAAAAAGTCATAATTAGCTTTTTTATTGATTGATTGATTGATTGTCCCATGGGTGAAAGGGCCTTCCACACTTTTCACAGCCATTTATTTATTTATTGGCTATTAAATCTAACCAAATGGACCCAAAGTGATATTTAGTGGATGTGTGAAGTCATTGATGTCATTTGGACACATTCCACTAACGTTTTACAACTAAAAAGCATCCAAATACTTTTTGAATTTATTTTTAATTATGGTTCTTTTAGTAAAATATTTAGTAAGTCTTTTTATTTCACATAAATGCCATTTGGTTTAATATTTTATTATCTAATGCAAGGAAATTGATACATTTTGTGTTTTTGAAGTGTCTAAATACATTTTGTGCCCACATATTATTGTGTTTATTTCACCTTAGCATAGCAACCATTATATCCTAACATAACCTACTTTCACTGACAGCCGTCCCATATGCACTCAGATCAGAAGGAATATATTAGTGTGATGAATTAAATTCTTGCTGGTTGTGATTCTGTCCACTATATGTCAGCTCCCACGTTGCCTTCTGTTAATGCCAGCAACCTCGATTGACATAGTTTGCAAAAAAAAAAGTCATATCGACATGGAGACTTCCGCCCCAGTGTCTGTAATGGCTTGCATCTCACGGATGCACAGTTTCCCACCGGTGCTGGTTTACGACTGCGTCAGTTGCAGAGCAATTGCGGTCTTACCCTCTCCTACTCTGAAATTTCTAAGGATTGTGGGGAAAGGGCAGGGGCGCATTTTCATGACTCAGAATTGAGGGCGATGCACATGCAAATGACAGTAATACCATACAAGTAATCCCCCAAACCAGTATGACAGCTTTAAATACATGCATTTCAAAAGTGTTCTTGTTGTGAAGATCAATAAAGGATAGTCTTTGTTGTAAACCTTTAAGCAATATATACTTTGTTTCATGATTTAAAAATACTTAACGGGACAGTTCACCCAAATATGAAAATTCTGTCATGTTGTTTCAAAACTGTTTTACTTTATACATATTTTGAAGAAAATTGTGATCTGAACAATATTGGACCCCACTGACATTCATTGGATTGACAAAAAATATGTTCCACAAAAGGAAAAAAAAACATACAGGTTTGAATCAACATGACAGAATTTTCATTTTTGGATGAAAAATGAAATGATTCATTATTTTAGACCATTAAACCCTGAAGGTTCCCAAAACCTGTTTAAAATGTGACGCAGGCCTCTGACCTACTTCTTGGAGTTTCAAAGAAGGTCCTGAAATCTTAGATCACCTTTTTACTTAATCATGAAAAGGATTTCAGTTACTCAACGTCCAGGAACAGGGGCTTTTGTAGTGACCTACATAAGACCACAAATTTGGAGAACCTTTAAAAGAACTGAAATCTCTAACCTAAATTTCCACGCTACATATTAGTTACGTCATTTTCGCAATTTCATCATATGTGAGATTATTTCCAAATCCCACTCTGGATTTTTACTACTCAAGGCATATTATGAATCATATTATAATCTTTATTTTTATTTTTTTGAGTTACAAAAGCAGCACTGCTATTATTTATGATGGATATTTCATTTAAAACTGCCAACTGATTAATCACAAACTTGGGAGAACCTTAAAGTTTCATATTTTTTTGAAATAGGCAATGATGAAGTTCAACTCAATTGCATAAGCAGCTCTAAGGCTTTTTTCTCCCCAAGCAATTAGTAATATTCTTATTCCGTCACAGTGGTCATGCTAATGGTTTTCTTTTGGCCACTCAATAAGTGGAAATCAAATAATGTATTTTATTGTGGTGAAATTACACAATACAGGGCCGGCTGATCACAAAAGATCTTTGCTATATTTTCCTTCCATTAAAAGCAGAATGGTAAAATGAGGTCAGGGATTTGCTGAGTAGCTTCCGCTCGCTGTAAATGGTTTGTCATCAGTCAATTTGAAAGCAAGTAAAAAAAAACCTACACAGAGAGGATTCCCGCACTGGGAGCCGCCACATCAAAGAAAGGCATAACGGTGACATAACACTGGGTTAAGCCACAGGGCAACCATGAAAAAAACTGTCCATTAATAGACGTCACACAATCATACTGATTAATTGTCAACTTTGCAAAATGTGGTTTCATAGTTTTTGAATGACTGCTTTATGCTGATGATACTCAGCTCTATATTTCTTCGCGGCCCGGCGAAACATACCAATTTGAAAAACGAACAGAATGCATACTCGATATAAAAAACTGAATGGTGAGTAATTTCTTACTGCTAAATTCTGAAAAAACAGAGGCGTTAATTATTGGACCTAAAACCTCCGCATGTAATAACCTACAACACTGTCTAACACTTGATGGCTGCTCTGTCAATTCTTCGTCATCAGTTAGGAACCTAGATGTACTATTTGATAGCAATCTTTCATTTGAAAGCCACGTTTCTAGTATTTGTAAAACTGCATTTTTCCATCTCAAAATTATATCTAAATTCCGACCTATGCTCTCAATGTCAAATGCAGAAATGTTAATTAATGCGTTCATGACCTGTAAATGACGGTAAATTCCCCTACTATATACGGTGAAAAACTGTAGTGGGCATTACATGCATTGGACATTCATTTTACGGTAGTATACCGTTTTTGGAAGTGGAAAAGACCTTATAATTTACAGTGAATAACCGTAAATTGACATTCCCAGAATTCCCGGCGTTACATTTCACATTTGATGTTTTTTTGTTTCTTCTTAGTTTTTTCTTCTTAGTTTTGTATTTTAGGGTTGTGTGTTACACCTAATGTTGTTAAATTAATGTTTATTGCATTATTTCAGTTTCATGTGTTACCATGATGGTGTTTAGTGTCTGTGTGAATGACACTGTGCACCTTCTATATATGTTATTATTTAAAAGCAGCTTGTGATGGGCTTTGTTTCATCATGTGACTTTCTCATCACCACCTGCATTTGGTGGTTATCAGTGTACTACAAAGGTACAAAACAGATTTCAGTACTTCAATAGGTTGGTATATTAACATTATATCAGTTAATGAAATTACGGTATTTAACTGTATATTTAAGTTAAAACCGTAAAACCTAAAATGTTGCTACCGTATTTTTTATGGTAAAATTCCGGCAACCACAGCTGCCGTTTTTTTACCGTAAATTTTACAGAATTTTTTTTACAGTGTAGAGTTCTTACTAGAACCAGGAAGTATGACCATATTAGCCCGGTTCTGTCAACACTGCACTGGCTCCCTATTAAACATTGTATAGATTTTAAAATCTTGCTTATTACTTATAAAGCCCTGAATGGTTTAGCACCTCAGTATTAGAACAAGCTCTTATTGCATTATAGTCCTCCACGTCCACTGCGTTCTCAAAACTCTGGCAATTTGATAATACCTAGAATATCAAAATCAACTGCGGGCGGCAGATCCTTTTCCTATTAAGCGTCCAAACTCTGGAATAATCTACCTAACATTGTTCGGGAAGCAGACACACTCTGTCAGTTTAAATCTAGATTAAAGACGCATCTTTTTAACCTGGCTTACACATAACACACTAACACATTTCTAATATTCAAATCCGTTAAAGGCCACAGGAACCAGATGAGTCCTCTGCACAATGTGACTTTGCTGCAGCCTGGAATTGAACTGCTGGTCTTGTCTGGTCAGAGGAGAACTGGCCCCCCGACTGAGCCTGGTTTCTCCCAAGGTTTTTTCTCCGTTCTGTCACCGATGGAGTTTTGGTTCCTTGCCGCTGTCGCCTTTGGCTTGCTTAATTGGGGACACTTCATTTCCAGTGATATCGTCGACTTCTTGTGGATTGCACAGATACTATTTAAACTGAACTGAGCTGGATGATGACATCACTGAATTCAATGATGAACTTCCTTTAACTGAAAATTGAGTGTTTACTATTGTCATTTTGCATTATTGACACACTATTTTCCTAATTAATGCTGTAACGATGCTTTAAAACAATCTGTATTGTTAAAAGCACAATATAAATAAAGGTGACTTGACTTGACTTGACTTAATTTTTACTAAATAAAGCATTTTTTTCTTTTTTATACTCAATAAGGGGAAGTTGTGGCCTAATGGTTAGAGAGCCAGACTCGTAACCCAAAGGTTGTGGGTTCGAGTCTCGTACTGGCAGGGATTGTAGGTGGGGGGGAGTGAATGTACAGCACTCTCCCACCTTCAGTACCACAACTGAGGTGCCCTTGAGCAAGGCACTGAACCCTC